GGGTGGGTGTGTTGGTGTTGCACCTATTTTCTGATCTGTAAAATGGAGAAAATATTTTTAGGTTTGCAATGAGTGCGATTTCGTAACCAATTCTTTCTCAGGTGTGTATGTGTGTCTGCCACATGTGTGTGGGTGCCCGGGCAGGCCAGAAGAGAATACTGTCTCCCGGAGCTGGAGTTAGAGGTGCTTGGACTCCAACTCCTCTCCTCTGTACGAGCGGGTAAGCCGGTTAACCGCCGGCCCTGGCAAGCTGAGTTAATGTGCAGAGAGAATCTGGGCACATTGAAGGATTTCCCAGGTTAAGAGGAAAGCTAATACCAGTGCTCTCTGGTTTGGTCTGCCTGGAGGCAACACCCTCAGTGCTCACTGCTCGTGAATTAGAGTTTCTTCACCAAGGGTACGGGACAGCCAGGCTGCGGAGAGGCGGTGCCGACCCTGGCCGTCAATCTTCAGCCAAGTCCCGCCTACGGCGGAGCGCCGCGGCCTACGCAAGAGCAGGCTCGCGCGTTCAATCACCAGCGACGCCCGCCCCGCCGCGCATCCACCCAATCAGCGTCGGTTCTGTCGCCCCGCCTCCCGAGGGGCGGGGATGGACTCGGCGGCGGCTCAGGCTTGGCGTCAGCGGCGCGCGACGGTGCTGCTGCCGCGGCTGCTGCGGGCGCTGCGCTCGGGGTTGCGGGGTTACGGGGTTGCGAGCTCACTCGCGGCATGTCGGTCATCTTCGCCCCGGACTGGCTTCGCGGCAAGGCCAAGGTCAACCAGGAGACCATCCAGCGGGTGAGCGTCCCCGAGGCGGGGCCTGTCGCGGGGTTCCCTGCGGGGGCCGGGCGGCAGCGGGAGGGATGGGATGGGAGCCGGGGCCCCGCCTGACGCCGCCCTGCACTCCCTCTCGGCCCGCCCGTCCGCCTTCCAGCTCCTGGAGGAGAACGACCAGCTGATCCGCTGTATCGTGGAGTACCAGAACAAGGGCCGGGCGAACGAGTGCGTCCAGTAAGTGCCTCCGGGGCCGCCTGGGTGACGACGGGACGCCGCTGGGAAAGGAGAGGTTCCCTGGGCCTCAGTGGCTCTGCCTGCCTCTAGTGCTAGCTGGCACTTGTCAGCCTGCGGCAGGAGGATGGCCACAAGTGCGAGGCCTGCTAAGGTGACATAGCAAGACTCTGTGCTTATTTACCTCCCTCCCCAGTGCGTTATTTACTCACTGCTCAAAACCATATAGGTAGTTTATGGTAGAGCCTGGACTTTATTCAGGGTTTCGCATCAGCCCCGTCAGCTGATGACCAGGGAAGCATCCGAAAGCTAGACTCAGGTAAGAGCCCTGTTGCCTCTTTGCTGGTGAATTTCACTTCCATTCCCAAGTAAATCCAGTCCGGACGTTTGGTTAACTAGCAGTCAGCCTATGAGAGATACACAGGACCAACAAAGGGATTTCTGTGTTAAACCGAAGGTTAAATCGGGATAGAACTAATGTGCTCTCTGTAAGACTCAGAATTCTAGACCCTTTTCTAAATTCGGTCCAAGAATTAGTCACCTGCCATCCTTCTTCAGATACCTCGATGGGATAGCGGAATTTCCATTGTGAGGTGTTTATGTTTGACTCCAGCATTTGGTGGTTTGCTTTTTTACAATTTGTGGAAAACACTGATTTTTAGACCATGCCTGCCGAATACTTCTCTTTGGTACATTGACTCTTGCAAAAGGATAGGAAAAGCCTTACAAATCTGTCCTGGTTTTTCACATTGTGAATGTTTCACTCCCTGCATGGCAAGCAATTGAGAATTGCTACAGTCCCTCCCTCCCTCCCTCCCCCTGTCCCTTCAAAGTTTCTCTGTGAACTTGCTCTATAGGCAAGGCTGGCTTTGAAGTCAGAGATCCACCTGCCTCTGCCTCCTGAGTGCTGGGTGTACTATAGACTAGGAAGCAGTGTTTGACATACAGGGGAATAAGAAGCTCAAAAGATTCCAAATCTCTTGTGGAGCTGACATTCTAGAGTCTAGAATCCAGAGAGAGGGATGGAGAATTGGCTCAGAGGTTAAGAGCACTTATTGCTCTTGCAGAGGACCCAGGTTCAATTCCCAGTAATGGTGGCTCATATAACTCATAGTTGCAGGGGATCTGATGCTCTGGGCATCGGGCACATATGTGGTGCACATACATACATGTAGGCAAAACATTCATACACAGAACCTAGCGGGAAGAAATATAATGAGACACGTAATAATAAGTGCTTTGAGTGGGGTAAAGTTAGGGTGTGACAGAGAACCTTGTCTGCCTCTTGTACAGGAAATTCAGAGTTCAATTTCCAACGCTGCAGAGATCAAGCATGGCAAGTCGGGGGTAAACTGGGGTGCAGAGTGCCTCTAATAAGGTAGTGTTGAATGAAGCCCTGTGCCCCAGAGATAGGCAGGATAAAGGTGCTGAATATCCTCAGGCCACATCAAGGAGGCCCTGTGTTCAGAATTTAACAAAGGGAAAGCCATAGGAGATGGGCACACAGAGTAACTGAAGAATCCTGTCACGTGAGACCTTGTAGGGATGAGATGACGTCTTTAGAGGGGTTTACAACGGTTGCTGTGATGACCCCAGCCCTGGAGAATAAAGCAGGGCTGCAGTGTAGATCATGGGGTGAGTAAACTACTATTGTAGCCCAAGCAAGTCAGTCACGGTTGCTTGTTTGGTCTAACACTCGCGTGCACATGCACGTGCGTGAGCGTGTGTGCGCGCACGCGTGCGTGAGAGAGGAGAGAGAGAGAGAGAGAATCGAGGAGGTTCCAAGTTAAACAAGAATTTAGTGAAGTGAGGTGTGGGAGGCAGAGGCAGGTGGAGGAAAAGTTAAAGGTTGGTGGTGACCTGTGTCATTCGGTCAGGGGAATGCCACCCCACCACAGGCAGCAGGCTCTCTTCTAGCTTGCATGGTTTGTAAAGACAAGCGTCTAATTCTGGTTTTTCCGCTCCTAGGTACCAGCATGTCTTGCATAGAAATCTCATTTATTTAGCTACCATCGCAGATGCCAACACAAGCAGCCTTACAAAGGCAGTGGAATAATCAATCTTCCAGGAAGCTGCTATGAGGCGTGACTGAATGGAGCCCATCTCCTGTGAAATAGAGACAGAATTGTTAGTAACTGAGCAAGTTAGAATGTGGGCAAAAGTCTGTGCTTCTTTCTAGACTGTGAAGAAAGTTGCTACTAATTCTACTGTATTCTTAGTGTAAATATTTTAATAATAAAGATTATTATTTTGGTGGTCAGTTGATCCGGTTCTTTTTTTTTTTTTTTTTTTTTTTTTTTTCTCGAGACAGGGTTTCTCTGGCTTTGGAGGCTGTCCTGCAACTAGCTCTTGTAGACCAGGCTGGTCTCGAACTCACAGAGATCCGCCTGCCTCTGCCTCCCGAGTGCTGGGATTAAAGGCGTGCGCCACCAACGCCCAGCTTTGATCTGGTTCTTTCACTTTGTGCTTTTGCACTCAGGAGTCCCTGGAGGCTGGGGATGCAGCTCAGTGGAACAGGACTTGCCTAGGGTATGTGAGGTTCTGGGTTCTATCTACAACACGGAAGGGAGAAGGGAATCAAGGAAGAAAGAGAAGGGAGGGAATAAAAAAAAATAGATGTATTGACTTCAAGTTCATGAAAACTTCCTCCTCTTGGCATCTGGGAATTTAAGTTTCTCCTTTTATGTTTAAATCCAGTCTTCAGAAAACCATTAAAAATTGTGATAAGGGTGCTGAAGCACAGCTCTTCACAGTTGATGGCTTCTGGTGGGGGTCGGGGTGGGGAAGGCTCAGTCTTCTTTATGGGTTGGCCACTGGGAATTTGGCCATGCTCCAGTGAGTGTATGAGCAACACAAAATTAAACTTTGGTTTCTTCTACTGCTGCTGTTTTGGGGAAGTTCACAAGGGTTGGGGGCAGACGTGGGAGGACTGGGAGGGAATGCATTACATGAAATTCCCAAATAATCAATAAAAATAATACACAATAAATAAACCCAGTCTTCCTGTGTCATGCAGGGTGGGACTCAAATCTTGGAGGCCTTTCTGTGTTCCATGGCCTGTGTAGAAGACTTTCAACCCATGATTACTTGGCTTTGTGACCACATATGACTATCAGTGCCTCTGCCATTTTTATAACATTGTAAAGCCTGCGTCTTTAAGTGCCGTTCAGTGGTATGAAGTACAGTCACCTCATGGTGCAGCCATCACCATCAACCAACTCAGGTTTATCTGGTAGAACTGAAGCTCACAAACTCATTTCCCTCTACCCTTCACCCCTGTTCTGTATGACACCTCTACTTTGTCAGTTTAGTTGCTGTTAGTACCTTCTGTTTGTAGAAGCAAGTTCTGATGGTCTGTTTTGGTCATCAACTTGACTGCATCTGCAACCAGCTAAAATCCAACCTGCTGGGCACTCCTCTGAGGGATATTTTGGAATTATTTGAAAGAGGAAGATTTGCCCTAAATCTGAGCCTCACTTTCCTTTTAACAGATAAAAGGACCTGGAAGAAGGAACTGATTTTGCTTGCACTACCACTGCTAAGCTCACCTGTCCTTTGTTGATTGATAGTAGAACCAGCCTGGTTGAGATCCCAACAGATCAAAGACCAGCAGCTCCCCAGGAATCTTCGAGACCTCAGTGTAAGATTGGGATTGCTGAGATATCCAGCCTCTTGGGCTGAGCAGCTAACAGATTTTCAGTTTTTTTTTTTTTTAAAGATTTATTATGTATACAACATTCTGCTTCCATGTATATCTGCACACCAGAAGAGGGCACCAGATCTCATAATAGATGGTTGTGAGCCATCACATGGTTGCTGGGAATTGAATTCAGGACCTCTGGAAGAGACTCAGTGCTCTTAACAGCTGAGCCATCTCTCCAGCCCCCAGATTTTCAGTTTTTAATAAGAGAATAAGCTAGTAAGCCCCAGTCTTCCATGGCCTCTGCTTCAGTTCCTGCCCCCAGATTCCTACCCTCACTTTCTCTGCATGATGGACCATGACCAGGGTGTTCAAGCCAAATAAACTCTTCCCTCCACAGGTTGCTTTTTGGCATGGAGGTGTATCCACAGCATAGAAAGCAAACTGATACATGGGATGTCTATCCTTTCACAGCTCTCGGGTTTCACAGCATAAAAGTGAAATACCTTGAAAATGCATCCTTGTTGTATATCAAGCCTTCAAGTAGGAAGGGATCAAGAATGAGTAATGTATGTATATATGTTGTGCATGTACGTATGAAAATGTCATTGTTCTCTGTGAGTTTTCGGCCAGCTGAGTGGGAGAAATAAATAGCCTTCCCCAGGGAAGCACATACCAATTGGTCATGCAATACCAAATGATCAGCCCTGAAAACACGCATACAAGTAACATCAGACTGAGCAGGTTGTTTAATTAAGGATCTATATGCATGTTCATATACGTATATACATTTAGCAACAATTAATAAAGAGGCCATGGATTTGAAAAGAATGAGGAGGGGATATGGAAGGACTTGGAGGAGGGAAAGAGTCAAATATGGCATAATTATAATCCTCCAAAATATGTTTTTCTTTGTTTTGTTTTTCAACACAGGGTTTCTCTGTGTTCCTCTTACTGTCCTGGCACTAGCTCTGTAGACCAGGCTGACTTGAAACTCACAGATATCCTCGTGCTTCTGCCTCCCCAGTGCTGGGATTAAAGGCGTGTGCAGTACTACCACCCAGCACCCACAAATCTTCTAACTCGAGACAGGGTAAGGAAATTTAAGGAAGCCCATATTGTGCGCCTTATGACGACAGATCGGATAGACAGGTATTCTGGCACTCGGGAGCCAAGGAATAGCACAGGTCCCAGCAAGTACAGCAGCTCACAGCCCTGCACCAGGGGAAGGCTTCCCCAGGGTTATCAGCTGTGCTCCTGCAGGAGCGGGGTCCCCGAGTTCGGCTCCAGGGGAGGGCTTCCCCAGGGTATCAGCTGTGCTCCTGCAGGAGAGGGGCCCCGCTGGGAGGGAAGAGCCCAGGAGGGTGGCAGAGACAGCAGGCACGGCCCCGAGCAGCGCGGGGTTTATATAGGGCTTCTTAGGGGGCGGGGCTTTGTCCAGGGAGACTTCCAGGGTGGGGATTGGTCAGATTACAATCCCTGAGCTCGGATTGGTTAGGTCTCCTGCTCGGGGATTGGTTGCGTTTCTGCAGAGGTTTAGGGTGGGATCTGGCTGTGGTTCCAGGGTCAGGGTGCGTTCCTGGGCTGGGCCCGGCCGGCCCTTTTCCGCTTTCATCGCCTCGTCAGACAACCGGAAGTCTCGCGAGGC